TGCTGGCAGCTGTAAACAAAGTCAAATCATTAACAAACCTTTTAGAAATAAAAAACATATACCCTTTTTTACCTGGTAAACTGACAAGGTGAATAAAGTCCAATTGAGGTGTCTGCATTATTCCAACTGTTGTCTAACAATAAATCTAATAATAAATAGACACTTGGAGTTTTGAGATAGCAAAATAGCTGAAATATTTTTTGTTTCTGAGATCAGTATGTAACGATAATTGAGTGTTAGTCTGAACCCAAAACGGAGCCAAAACACGTGTCCAGTCCACCAAACTTTTATTATAAGAACAAACGTGAAAAAGGGGCTCTAGAGGGTGTGGGCTCACAGGTAAATTGGAAATGGGGCATCCAAAGGTTGGGGAGAATGGGCAAAGGAGTTGACTGGGGAGCTCGGGGAACAAACAGGGACAAAAACAACCAACCAGAGTCTCATTAGTAGAATCAGTCCAGGTCATGCACGGATGGGTCTCAGGTACAGAAAATCCAATAAACGGAAGGCTGGAGGCAGGTTCAGAGGGAGGCTGGGTTCGGCAACAGGAGATCAGACTTCTTCAGGAGGACTGGGCAAAATCTGTGGTCAAGGACAGGCAGAGTCAAAAAACCAGAAAACTTCATGGAACGTGGAACAAGGAACAGTGCTTGAAAGCTGTGACCAGAGCAACAGACGATCTCGCACTGAGCTGCAGATGAGCAGCTGGTTAAATAGGGAGCGGCAGCGTGCAGGTGAGGGTAATTAGCAATCAGCCCAGTGGTGGAGCTTCAGGGCTGAAAACATGACATCAGTATAATCATGCACAATCAATAATTCAGTTAAATGGACTTCCGGTTATGGCGTCTGACTGAGTAGCTGCAGGGCTCTGAGCTCCGACCAATATATTCTACATTTAGATATCTAGACCACTGCTAATATATTTTTAATTCGAGCAAACTCTCTGGGACTCAATCCAACCCGCCAAGATGCCGAGTAAACAAAAATTAAAAACGAAAACCACCAGCAAAGAGGGATCCGAAGGCGAGGC